TTCTCCAGCTGTGCTGGGAGATGTGGGGCAGATGCTGCAGCCCCCTGCAGTGTCCAGCTGAGCGGGTACGGGGCTGGTTTGTGTTGGGACCATGCTGCTCTCGCTGCCCATGGCTGTGGGGAAGCAGGGCTGGGAGGGCCGGGCACTGGGACTTTGCACCCGCGTGGGGTCAGAGTCTGACCTGCTTGCATGGAACTGGCCCGGCCGCAGCCTGCCTGAGGCCCCGCTGCCGTGGCGGGGGACGGATGGGCGTCGCAGCGCAGGTTTGGGAAGGGTTGGGGGGCGGGAGCCCTTCCCCAGCTGTGCTGGGAGATGTGGGGCAGATGCTGCAGCCCCCTGCAGTGTCCAGCTGAGCGGGTACGGGGCTGGTTTGTGTTGGGACCATGCTGCTCTCGCTGCCCATGGGCTGTGGGGCTGGGACTTGCTTCCAGTTGACCCCGCGGAGCCATTCAGCTACACTCTGGGGCTGGGTGGGCAACAGGGGGGACATGGCCCCCGCCCTGAGGCTCGCTCAGAGGAGAGACATGCGTGTCACGGGGCTGCAGTGTTGCCGGCGGTGCCCAGAGGGAGGAAGCGGGCGGCTGCAAAAGCCCTTCCTCCCCGTCAGCCTCTCCCGGGACCACCTGGGGCTGCCTGGCGCCAGGGGAAGTGCGGGATGCGGTGACGTGGTCCCTGTCCTCGTCCCGTCCTGCAGGGCCACGGGCGCTGGGCTGGACCGGGTGGCCGGTGGCACCGAGGTGGCCACGGGAAGGAGGAATGTGCCTCTCTGGATCCCGGTCAGCCAGGGCCCTCGTCATCTCTGCCACCAGCTGCCACCCCTGAGTCACAGTGGTGACAGTGAGGTGGCCGGAGAGGGTGGGCACGGCCTCGCATGGGCTCAGCGCCAGGGTGCAGCGAGGAGCAGCGTTGGAGGGCTTTGGGGTGCTCAAGGGCAGCAGCAAGGCTGCATCCCCACGTCCCCATCCTGCCAAGCGTGGGTGCAGAGGGGTACCCATGGGGTGCCTGCCCGTTCCGGCTCCCCCCGGCACGCCGCTTGGCTGGCGGTGCCTCCCGGGGGCTCTACGCCCTCCTCTCACACTTCCTGCCGTCTGTTTCCAATTCCTCCTGGCGTCTGCTCCTCCCTGCTTTCTTCCAATTAAAAAAAAAATCCCAGGCATCTTCTCGGCGTGCGGCTCCCAGAGGCTCGAGCGCTGCTGTGCCCCACTCCGGCGGGCTGGGGCTGTGCGGGGAGGGGGCAGCGGGTGCCTGCAGCACCCCGCGTCCCTCTTTGTGCCCGTTCAGGTCCGGGACCGTCCTGCAACACCCCCGTGCCCAGGTCTTTCTCTTGCGGTCTTTTGTGCATGTCTGCTCCGTGGATGGGGTCTGGGACCCGCTCGTTTAGGGGGTGTGGGGAGCTCAGGGGTGTCTGGGGACCCATCCCCTGTGGAGCGATGCCCAGTGTGGAGGCTATTCCCAGGGGAGCGGAGTGGCTGGCGGGCATGGGGTCACATTTTTCAGCCTGGCGGGGTGAGGGCTGGTGTCATCAAGGCTGTGCCCGTCCGTGTCCTCAAAGCCTGACCATGTCCCTCTCTCCTGTCCCCTAGGAGTGACCCGTCTGTGACACCGGTGGGAGCCCAGCCACAGAGCACCAGGTGTGAGCACCGGCCGGATCCGTGGGACACGCGGCTCCATCTTGGCCGCCCCCGTGCAGTGCGGCACAGCCCCTCTCCGCCGCGGCCATGCCGATCCTCAAGCAACTCGTCTCCAACTCTGCCCACTCCAAGCGGCGCTCACGGGCTGACCTGACGGCCGAGATGATCAGCGCGCCGCTGGGGGACTTCCGCCACACCATGCACGTGGGGCGGGCAGGGGACGCCTTTGGGGACACCTCCTTCCTCACCAGCAAGGCGGGGGGAGCCGAGCCGGGGCCGGAGGCGGGCGCCGGGCGCCTGCCCCCCCCGGCCCCCCCCACCCCCCCCGCCGCTTCCGCAGCAGCAAGCGCTCGCAGTCGGTGACGCGAGGTGACCGGCGGGACATGCTGGGTTCTCTGCGGGACTCGGCCCTCTTCGTGAAGAACGCCGTCTCCCTGCCCCAGCTCAACGAGAAGGAGGTGGACAGGAGTGCGGGGCAGCTGCCCAAGAGCCTCTCCTCCAGCCCCGTCAAGAAGCTGCCTGAGGAGGTGAGCCCCGAAGAGCAGCAGCGCCCAAACGGGGCGACCGCTGGGCCGCTGAGCCCCGGCTTGGACGAGCGCGACTTCGGGGACATCACGGAGCTGCCCGTTGTGGTGGCCAAGAGCGGGGCGGGCATGAAGCACGCAGAGTCCATTATGTCCTTCCACATTGACCTGGGGCCCTCCATGCTCGGGGATGTCCTGAGCATCATGGATAAGGAGCAGTGGGAGCAGGACGAAGACCCCGAGGCGGAGGAGAGCCGTGAGGAGGGGGCGGATGCCGCCCTGCCCGGCTCCCCGGTGGTGGCGGCAGCCCTGCCGAGCCAGAGCCCGTCCCGCAGCGCCAGCGGCCGCTGCCCCAGGGACAGCAGTTCGGCATCCAGTTGCACCTCGGGGCCGGAGGAGCGCAGCCCTGTCCCTGGGCCACCGAGCCACCGGGGCCCCCCAAAACGCCCTGACAAGGAGTTCTCGTTTGCTGACGAAGATGATGACGAGATCAGAGTATAAAAGACGAGCGGCCAAGCCAAGGGGTCTGGTTCTCATTTGCGGTTGCTTGGACACGGGGCCGAATACCCCGGTGCTGCAATGGGTGGCACCGGGGAAGACTCAACTCCTCACTCGTTCCCTCTCCCTGTCCGGTGGTGGACATGCCGCCGCAGGACAGCACTCTGTGCCCGGGGCCGGAGCAGCCCTGATGCCTCTTGGCTCCCGGAGAGCTCCAGCACATCCCGGGAGGGGAAAGCAGACTCGCTTTCAGTTACTTCTGTTGGACTTCGGATATTAGCTCTTTTCTTTTTTCCCCCCTGCCCATGTAAAGCAATATAGGATCAAACAAGACGAGGCTTCGAAGTTTTAGCCCCTTTAGTAATATATATATTTTTTTCCGCCATATGGTTTTTACTGCTCTCTGATTTGTACTTAACTTTCTTTACTCTCGCTTTTGGTTTTAACGGAGGGGAGATTTCCCATGAGGAAGGACTTAGCTCTGGAGCTCAGAGGGGGCTTGGGACTGTGGGCAGCTCCAGCTCCCCAGGTTTCTTGGGGACTTTCTGCAGACTGAGAGCCTCCGGTCTCGTGCCGCGGCGGGGTCTTGCTCCCCATCCCTCTGATGGATGGATCCATCCCAGATGCCTGACACTCCAAACAGCCCGGGGTTTGTAGGGATACCTCCCTGGCCAGCCCTGGCACTGGCTGCTCCCAGGGATGCTGATGGGAATGTGGGTCTGTCCCCCGTGGGAGGAACGCCTGGGACCCCCCGTGAGCCAAGGCGAGCCCCAGTGTCCTGCGTGCCAGGCGGCCGCCGTCACAGGGCAGGTCTGGCTGGGCAGTACCGACGCTGGCCTGGTGCAGGCAGATGGAAGAGGAGGGTTTTATATCATGTATGTACAAATGCAAAGAATAAAAGGAAATGGTAGTGACAGTAGTGGCCTGAGTTCCTGGGGATGAGACACGTGGGGATGTGGGTGTTTGCACCCTGCTGCACAGGTGGGGACTGGCTTTCTCTGTGCTGCCATCGTCCCCAGACCCTGTTCTGCCGCCTCCACCTTTGCTGCCTGTCCATGGCTGGAGTCCTGCCCAGCGGCTGGTCCCCTGGCCGGCGTTTCGGCTACCTGCAGCGGCCGTGCTTTATCTGCCCATCGCACGGGGCTGCCTGCGGCGGGAGGAAGCGGGCGAGCTCCTGCTGACCGGATCTGGCTCCGGGCTGGGACCCTCCAGCCAGGCTGGTTCCAGCCAAGGGACGGCTCTGCCAAGACGCCGGCTCTCCTCCCTGCAGCCCTGCTCCCTGCCAGCTGGGGAGGAGTGGAAGGTGATGGCAGGGCAGGACTGGCTGTCCCTGCTCCCATGGGCTCGGGGCCAGGGCTGGGCTTGTCCTGGGTGCTCCTGGCCCCATGGAACTGCTGTGGCCCCTGCCGACTCCAGTGAGGGTGGATGGAGGGGCTGCATCTGGCATGGCGAGCAGGGTGGGTCGCTCCCATCCCATGGCCAGCTTCCCACAGCTCAGCCCCTGGTGCGAGTGGGGCTCTGCCAGCATGGAGGGTGCCTTCCCTCCCTGGCCCCACTGATGGAGCTGGGCTGTGATGGGGCGAAGCGCTGGGAGCAGCCCCAGAGCCCTTCCCCAAGTAGAGAGAAGGCTGGCTGGAGAGCACAGCTCTGCTGGGAGTGCTGGCCAGGCTCTCCTCGCTGGTGCTGGATGGGGAGGAAAGGATATGGCCCTTCCAACATCTCCAAGCCCTAGGAGGGGCTGGGTGCCCCGTCATCCCGGAGGGATCTCCCCTAGTGAAGCCGGTGGGAGCAGGCGAGCACTGTGCTGTGGCGGGGACACAATGGGGTCCTGTGCGTGCGCCAGGGCCAACACAACACCCCGCGGCGTGGGACATTGGGCTATTGTCCGGGTCGGGGAGAACAACAGCAGCTGCAGCTGGTGGCTCTGAGCTCACCGGGCTGCCTCTGCCCCGGTCACTGCACCACAGCCCCCCTGCCCTGTGCTAGGGCCCCGGGGCTGCTGCCCCCTGCCCTTGCTCTGAGCACCCGTCTCCTGAGCTGATGGTCCTGGCCCGTGCCTCCTGGGAGGTCACCAGGCTGCCACGGGGACCTGGCTCCTCTTGTCCCTTAATGATGCTCTGACATGAAGCAGCGGGGCAGGGCAGGTCACCGGGGTTTGCACCCCCTCCTGGGACCCCCCCTTGCTCCCCGGGGCCTCACCGGTGCCGCAGGGAGGGGAGAGACCCTGGGGCAACCTGGCACTGGCTGCCTGAGACCGTCACTTGGCAATCGCGATCTTTGTGATGCCTGTCAGCTCCAGCCTCCCACGCAGCAGCACCGCGCTGCCACGAGCCGACGGGGCAGAAAGCACACACTGGCTCGCTGAGCACGCACGGGACATGGTCCCACTCGATGGGATGGGATGGTGGCTCCAGCACACTGCGAGCAAGTGAGCACAGGGCCAGTGCAATGGGTCCCGGGCTAGTGGGGAGTAATGCCAGCACTGCTGCAATGCCAGCAGTGTGCAGCCAGTGCCTGCTGCAAGGGAGGGCAGGTCGGCTGGGCTGCACCCGCCGTCTTCCCCAAAAACCCTCCATCTGCACAGCACGGGATGGGCGTCTTGGTGTGGGACCTGATGTGTGCGCGGGATGTGGCTGGCACCACCGCTGGGTGCCGGGTTGGTGCACAGCACGCAGCGCAGGGCTGCGGCTGCGGCACCCACAGGCAGCGCTCCGGCAGGCAGACAGCGCTGGTCCAGTGCGTATATAGCTAGTGACAGAATGGGAGCAGGTCTCCATCCCCGATGTGTCAGGCCACATCGCTCCGGGCGTGTGCCGGGGATGCGCGTGGCCACAGGAGCTGCGTGATGGAGGAGGGACGGAGCGTTAGGTCAAACCCGGGGGCTGCGCAGTCTTTTCTGGGTGGGCCCCTGGCAGCCCCGGGAAGCAGCGTGGCACTGTTGTCATGCCCAGCATGTGCCGCTGCAGCCTGGCACGCGTGCAAGCCCCCAGCCCAGCAGCAGGGACTGAAGGGCCTTCCCATCGGGGTGCGAGGTGCGACCTGGCCGTCCCCACCAGGAGCCCAGGGACGTGGGTCTGTTCTGCTGAGCACCAGGCGCTGCAGAGCGGGGCTGGGGACGGTGCTGCTGTGCACCCAGCAATGCACAAAGCACTCAGAGTGCGACAAAACCCACACAGGATCCGTCCCTTACTATCTGAGTGTTTAGTTACAGCACTCGGGCCACATTTGGCTCTGTTTAAGGCTGAGCAGCAGCCCCAGCGTGAGGGGGTTAACCCAGCTCACGGGCAGCCCCTGCAGACCCTGCTGCTCCTGGGGAGACGCGGGCCAGCTGCTCTGCCCCAGAGCTGGGGCTGGAGGAAAAGCAGATGTCGGTGCAGAGAGGCAATTATGGGGGATGCGATGGGGGCCCGGGGCTGAGCTCCCTGCAGCTGGGCTGTGGCAGGAGGCAATCACGGCTGCAAATTGAGATCAGATGTGGGCAGCTTCTGTCTCTAAATGGAGGGCTCGGGACTGCTGCCTGGGTTGGTTTTGCTCTGGTTTGGAGAGGAGGAGGAGGGTTTCTGAGCGCTGCTGCTGGGGCCCAGGTTGGCTGTGGTGACCTGCAAAGCGTGGTGCTCCCTTGGGAGACCGGTGCTTTCCTCGGGCAGCCCCACTGCCAGCCCCTTTGTAGCCGTGCTCCCTGCCTGCACCCTGCCTGCGCTGGGCTGGAGGTGCCTCTTGCCAGAGCAGGGGCGATGCAGGAGCTGGTGGCTGGTGTGGAGAAGATCAGGTTTGACTTGGAGGCTGATGTGGAGCAGCAGCGAGGAGCTCAGCCCCTGCCCTTTCCGGGTATGGACAGTAAGTTGGGGACAGGATCCTGTGGCATCCTTGGAGGATGACAGGGGTGCAGGAGGTGTTGGGGTTCTCCTTGCTGGTGCTCCTGGCTCTTGCTGCACCCACCACAGTGCCTTGGTGCCTCTGGTCCTGCCTCCTCCCTGGGCTCCTGCCCAAGGCTGGGCTGGCTCCAGGCATTGCTCCCTCGGGGATGCATCTGGCACAGCTCTGCGGGGGCTTCTGTTGGAGTGGGCTGAGATGCTCTTGCCCTCGATGGCGCAGTGGTCCTGGCACTGGGGCTGGTGGGTGAAGGTCTCCCTACCCTGCTTTCCCCCACAGAGCTGGGGGCGGCCGTCTGTGAGTTCTTCCATCAAGGGCTGTGCGCCAACGGTGAGTGCTGGGAAAGGACAGGGATGGGACTGACACCACCCCACAAGATCCTGCGGCCACTAGGGAGCCGGACAGGGCCCCTCTCTGCTCCATGACCAGCCCATATCTGTGGCAGATTGTGTTGTGGCCCTGTGGCCAGTGGGTTGGCGGGTTTTGATCCAAAATGCTAACACTGCTCAGAGTCCATCGTTCCCCCTGGCCCTTTGGATGAGTGCTCCTACCCCTTCTGCACTGGGGAGGGCTTGGACACCTCCAGGGCAACCAGACCTTGGCAGTGCCTGGGGGACCGAGCCCCATCCACCCAGTGGGTGCTGCAAATCTCCACGTCCCGGAAAGCTCACGCTGGCATCTCCCAAGCCAAGGAGCTTGGGGGTGCTGGGGCGGGGGGTTCCCAGGTGCAGGCCACCCAGTGGGTGCTGCAAACGTCCCCGTCCCGGAAAGCTCACGCTGGCATCTCCCAAGCCAAGGAGGGTGCTGGGTGCTGCAAATCTCCACGTCCCGGAAAGCTCACGCTGGCAAGCCAAGGACCAAGGAGCTTGGGGGTGCTGGGAGAAGACGGTGGTGTGCAAGCACTGGCTGCGCGGGCTCTGCAAGAAGGGTGACGGGTGTGACTTCCTGCACGAGTACGACGTGACCAAGATGCCTGAGTGCTATTTCTATTCCAAGTTCGGTAGGTGTGGGACTGGGTCGAGGACCCCAGCGAGCCTCTCGCACCCCAGCACCCATGTCCCTCCAGTCTGGCCTCGAGCAAGCGCCTGATGCCACCTCCTGTCTGCGGGAAGAAACACCACTGGCACCTGCCCAGGGCCACCATTCCCCGGGCCAAGCCTGGGTGCTCCTGGGGCACCTCTGTTCTTCCCATCCAGCCCATCCTTGAGCACTTTCCACTGCATTTGGCTTGAGCGACTGTTGTCCTACCCCTTACTCCTGCAGGCGAGTGCAGCAACAAGGACTGTCCCTTCCTGCACATTGATGCCACCACCAGAACCATGGGCTGTCCCTGGTACGACCGCGGCTTCTGCAGGCATGGTGAGCTGCTGGGATGAGTGCTGGGGTGAGCAGGGGCTGCCCATGTTCCCTACCCACCAGTGATGGGGGGGGTCTGGACCCCGCTGCTGGCCCAATTTCCTGCCACCTCTGAGGTGACCGAGCCAGAGTGGGGTGAACCACAGCAGGTTGTCTGGGGACTGCCTGGGAGTGGGACTGGGTGCCCAGTGGGGATTTGGGCTTGGGGCAGCAAAGGCTCCATAGAGCTGAAGGGGAACGGGGCTGCTGGGGAAAGCTGGGCTCCCAAAATCCCTGCGGGGCAGGGGGTGTGGTACTGTGTCCCCACAAACAGGAACCTCCCCTCTGCGTGGCAGGTCCCCTGTGCAAGTACAAGCACACGCGGAGGGTGATGTGTGCCAACTACCTCGTTGGCTTCTGCCCAGAAGGACCCAAGTGCAAATTCATGCAGTACGTACGGGGCAGGCTGCGGGGGGAGCTCAGCACACAGCCGGCCTGGCACAGCCCCCTCTCCGAGGCTGCAGAGGTGGACATGGCCCTTGCAGTGTCTGGGTCAAGGACAAGGGTGCTTTAGGTCCTTGTCTGAACTAACTGGACCCCTCTGGTCTCTCCTCACGTTCAACCTGAGCTGGTGACCACAGGGTTTGCAGGGGACAGCCCCGGTCCCCATGGGGATGCCTGTACCAGCTGC